TTTCAGGAGGTACCTCAGGGTCTGCCTTCACAGGGATTCCTCCAGTTTCTGTGTCATGTGCGTGCTTTTGTATCCCCACAGTGCTCGTACTGTGAATGCACCCCATTCTTGCAGCAAACACGCCTCTTGCACCTCTAATCTTTAAATTTCCTCAGCTCCTCGCGAGTGATTTCCTCTTCTCTTCCACCCCTTTCAGCACTTCATGTTTTCTCTCTTCTTGTTCTCCAGCATGTTCCTCCGTCCTTCTCAGCGACTCCTCACACCTCTGTTCTTCGCCTCTGACGGCTTACCCTGCCTCGAAACCCACCCCAGATAACTTTCCACCCCCTGACTTCTCTTCTTACAACCGCTCTTTCTCCCTCTGTCACCAAGAACCTACCCTTCAACCCACATCCCCTTACACTCCCCCTGCGCCCCTTGCTCTCTGACTATCTTCACTCTGAAAACATAAAAGCATACACTCACCGCCTCTCTCTTCCCTCCCGCCCCCCTCCACCGTTTCCACTTGCTAATAACTCCTTCTCTCCAGCTTACAGACCCTCAAATGTCTTGTGCTCTACACTTACAGACCCTCCAGTCTTCCCTGTCTCTCTCTCTCTCCCTCCCTTGCTGTGCGGGAGAAGGGGGCAGCTGTTTTGGCTTGTTGATGTCAAACCCTTCCCTTATGCTTTGGCTTTACTGCAGCTCCTCTCACGCTCCTCTTCCTCATGGGAGAGTGATTAGTTTGAACCTCTTTCACACATGTCATCCTTCTGGTCTCTGTGGCTTTGCTCATGAGAACTTAACTGCTGGCTTGATAGCACTGATCACTCTTCTCCCTCTCCGCATTGTTTCGAGAAAAAGTCTTCTATCTCGGCGTGTCCCATGGGCGTTTATGTAGCCTAAAACGTAATCAGCTTCACCTCCTTGTTTGACAGGACAAATGACATCATCACCGACCTCGCTTTATTTCCTCACTTGGATGCAGCTCTCTCTCTCCACTGAAATTAAAACAATGACACATTCTGTGCTTAAATTTTAGATCTGTGTTCATTCCTTCAGACTACAGCTCTCTCTTTCTGTTACACACACACACACACAACTGTAATCCTCAAACTGGGCTCCCCAGACAAAATACTGCTTCAATCTGGGGGTTTTTGCAGTTGGGAGGGGAAAAGCTTCAACAATAAACTCTTTTTAAAGCCACATTTTTAGGGCTTGGTTAGGCTGTACAAAGCAGTCTTTGGTTTAAATGTGAGACAAATCTGTGGCCGGGAGCTAAATTGGGCATCAAATCATCAGCATCTACAGCAGCAGTGAGAAGAAATCAGTGATAGTGAGAGATTAAAAGCTATATGCTATAAATTCAGATAAAATCAAGGCAGCTTTCTTTGAAAACTTAACGTGTGGACATGAACCTCTGTCATTTTGTGGTGTGAAGTGGAAAAGGGTATGGAGGACCCTCCTGTGTGTGCCATCCTCTTAACTGTCATGGCGACAGGTGTGGGGGCTGGTTATGTGTGGATACAGTGGGGGAAACAAGTATTTGATCACCTACTTGACCTATTTGTAAGTTTGCTCGCTTTCAAAGAAATGAACGTGCTTTGACTTCTATGGTAGTTTCATGTTAAAGGGGAGATACTGAATATCAATCAATAACCCAGAAAAAAACACATTACACAAAAGTTATAAACAGACGCATGTCAATGAGTGAAATAAGTATTTGATAATTTAGTACTTGGTGGAGAAATCCTTGTTGGTGTGATCTTTCTTGTAGTTGGTCACCAGGTTTGCACACATCTCAGGAGGGATTTTGGTCCAGTCCTCTTTACAGAAACTTGGCAGCTCGAAGCTTCAGTTTCTGCCACAGATTTTCTATCGGACTGAAGTCTGGAGACTGGCTAGGCCACTCCATGACCTTAATGTGCTTCCTCTTTAGCCACTCCTTTGATGCCATCTTCAGTGTTCTGACTGAAGGAAGGAGGATTTTACACATTTTACTTTCTCCCAAATCTTTCCTGAATGATTTAGATGCTCATTAGCAAACTTACGATGAACCTGTACAACTGCCTTCTTGAGAAGGGGGACCGTACCACGATTTCAGTCTATACAATGTAGAGTTTTACCAGTGGTGACTGTGGTTCCAGCTGCCTTCAGATCAAGTTCCAAGTTTTGGACTGATCCACCATTAGCTCCATGAGCTAAGATCTTGCACAGAGCTCCAGATCAAGGGTGTCTGATGGTCATTTAAATTTCACTCACATATATTTCACTCAGTGACATGTAAATAAATTTAAAACCTTTTAACTTTTGGTTGATATTCTGTCTTCCCCATCTCAGCACAACAAAGCACTCAGACCATGATTCTGCTCGCTAAAACTGCTCAACAGGACAGGTTATTGTAAAAAACACTGTTTTCCCCAATGCTCATGTTAAAACTGTTTTCACTGAAACAGAGTACCACAATGAAAGGGCACTCAGATCTTTACCCAAGTAAAAGGAACAGCACTGCAGTTCATATAAATAATATGCTACCCCTCACTCTCCCAGTTGATGCACCTATGGTATCATCTTTCTTGATGTGTTCACAAGATTTTCAGAAAACGTGACCTTTGACCTTGAGGTCGAGGACACTGATATTCAAACTCGACAGAGATCTTTAGTAGACGCACATATTGTATAAGTTTCAAAATCCTACGTCGCCTTGTTCTGAAGTTGTCACATTCACAAATTTGGATGTCCCGGTGGGGTGGCGACAATACCCCATCAGCCTTTTATGGCTGAGAGACAATTAAAATAACACTATTACAAAAAGTGTTTGATCTAAATCAGGGGTCTCAAACTTAAATGAACTGCACTCTCATCTCATTGGAGGGCCACTTTAGTGTTCAAGTAGTACAAAACAAACAAACAAGAAAACACCCGCAAGTATTTCTGAAAATGTAGAGTTTTGTTTGTTTCTTTAAAATTACAAATATTGTACAACAGGACAAAACTACAAACGTGAAGACCGTTTTTTTCCTCACTCTTAACTAACTGAAGCCTTTCATTGAGCTACCAAATAGACACATTAGTCCTCTCTTTCTGGCCAGACATGTGGCGGCACTTCTGCTATCATTTTGTTCGTATCTAAATAAAAATGCAGACTAAGTGCATGCATTAGTTTTTGACTGCTAGTGAAAAATGTTTTCTTTACAAGTAACTATTTCACTGAACTAACACAGACAATCCCTCAACATGTTTGTGCTCTCTGCTCATATTGCCCTCATATTAAATCATTTTTTTGCTTTTTAAACAATTTATTTTAAAATTGCCTTCAACAACAAACGAAAAAACTAACTTCAAGGGCCAAATTGCATCATATTTCTTCACATATAGTTTGAGACCCTTGCTCTGAAGGATGCACGCTTAAGCATTAATCTCATGTTGCAGCTGGTGCACTATTAAGCGCTTTATAAATGTGAATGATTATTGATTGAAATCAATGTTTAATATTTTAAAAGTCGCATTTTGTATGTGAAACCTGAATCCATGGATGACCTTTAAAGAGGATAATGACGCTTCTCCTTAGTTTTCAAATGTAAAACACTGAAATCATACTGTCCAATGCTGTAAGCCTATCCCAGCTGTTATTGGTGGGGGGTGGGATGTACACCCTGAATAGGCTGTTGATCGGTCACATGGCTTTTACACAAATGTTCACATCTATGGCCAATTTAGAATCCCTGTTTAATCTGATAAGCATCTCTTGGGACTGTGGGAGAAAGCCGGAGTACCTGGAGAGAACCCACAGTCACAGGGAGGACGTCCCGATTCGAACTCGGGATTTTTTCTCTGTAATTCTTTCTTATCCAGGCTTTATAATGATTGAAGTAATGTGGAGTGTGTTCATGCACACACACAAACACTTGCGTTGCTTTCCATGTCTGCTTCCCAGCTTTGGCATTGCTACATCATGGCCACTATTTTTGCCTCATAAATATTTAAAAGACATAATTTGCACGTGCCTAAACACACACCCTTGGTGTCAATCAGTATGCTTTCGGATATCCGCTGCAAAGAATGGTTTGCTTTGAAGAGTCTGAGAAATGCCTTCTTGCATTAAAATGCGCACCTCCTGTGTGTGGAGGAGGGTGGGTGGGTGTAAAGCTCAGCAGGATCCTAACCAGCTGCCACCAGGAGCCGGGGCCTCAGCAGGGGGCCCCAAGTCTGAAGAAACACTGAGGAAATCTTATGCCTCACAGACCACACCGGGAGAGCATAAAGTTGGTTGAAGCAACTCAGCATATAGACGACCGTGTTTTCACGGGTGATGGTAAATCCCGTAGGTGTTACGAGAGTATGTGCTGCTCATTCAGCATAACAAAAGGCAGCAGGGAGGAGTTGCATTTTCCCACATTAGAACTTTAATAATCATACTATTTGATTTCACATGATGACCCCAATTTATTACAAATTGGAAGACAGGTTCATATAACCTCATGAACAACCCCCCCCCAAGCAAATCCACCCTTTCTCCATGGATTTGTACTCCTTCAGGGGCAATGAATGATTTACACAGATCTGTTAACGTGACTGGATACTGGAGTACCATGAGCATTTAACTGGTCTAATTCTAAGGTATAGAAACAGAGGGACATCTGTACAATGATGGGGATTGTAATAATGGCACTTAATTGATTCTCACGGTAAAATTGTGTGGTGGCTTTTTTCTTTCTTCCTTCCTTCCCTGCAACTGTGAAAATATAAATCCTGCAAAAATATGTTTGGGAATCCTTTTGTTAACACCATCGACCAGCTTATTTGTTGAATGGTGAATCACATGATTGGAACATTTTTAAATTAGCAGGTTTTGTCTCAATGCTCTTGATAATGAGTACTGGAAAACGGGATTTTCAAATTTCAGCAGTACACTTGTATATTTTTTAAAATACTCTATAACATCAAATTATTTAATAACGTATACAGAAGGGCTTGCAATGATGTTTTGCATTTCTAAAAAGTCAATAAAGGAGAGAGAAAAAAAACCAAAACACGTTTATAAGCTCCATCTTCAGTCATTAGATGCACCTGTGATCCACAAATATACAAAAATCATTTTTCCCCACTTTTTCCATTTATTTATTACAATTAATTCAATCTTTTCCATCACGTTTTCATGTGTCATGTATTCCTCTGTTCCATTTAAAACAAGTCCAGTATGTGACTATTCTTTAGAACCTGAAGAGTCCTGAAGGTGGAGCAGGGGGAGGAGGGATGGGTGAATGGTTTGAAATTAAAGGACAGGTTTGTAGGAGGAAAACAGAGAGGGGTGATGATTCCCCCTCCCTTCCCAGGAGCCACATCCATGTGAGGAGATTTTTTTTTTTCCCATACGCTATGTGAGATTATTATTTTTTTCTTCTTGCATTCATCGCTTTCTCTGCATCTCGTTGTTTTCCCTCTAATCGGCGTCATCTGCGTCTTCTCCTTGGTCACCATCCATTAGCAAAGCGGCGTACTTACTGGCTGAGCTGAACTTCTGCAACAAAATAAGAAAAATAATCAGTACTTTGACAGCACAGTGCAACTTTGCACAGATTTTGATGTGGCTGAGCTACAGGACTTACGGGGGTTGGGGTCTCTTCGTATTTCTTTGGCTCTGGGGGTGGTCTGGAGTCTCGGTCTCTTCTGTTGTCCTTTCTAAAGGTCAGAGTGAATGCTGACGTTAGGAAGTATCTGTACTAAAAAACTAGTTGCGAAACCTTTAATGGCCACAGGTGAAAATAAATAAAGAGGAATCTGCTCGTTTTCGTCTTCTGAAGATTAACAACCATTTCAGAAATTTCAGTTCTGATTCATGTAGTTCTGACATGAATTATTTCTTGTGCTACAATATGGGGATCATGATGATTTGGTGTAGCACAGATAAAGCATTCATGTGCACACCAGCAAACCCTGTCTTCCCAGTGACCCACAAAAAAAATAAAAATGAAAAAACAAACCACAAAGCACCATCAGTTGTGTAACCCGAGCACAGATGCCTGAAAAATATCCTCCCTGTCTCATTAAGAACTTTGCAGTTGCTAACCTGTCTGCCTCCTTCCTTCGGTCTCTGTTGGGCCCCTCTCCTCGCCCCCGCCCAGCTCCAGGCCCTGCAGGCCCCCCTCGTGCTCGTGGGGGCCCCCGGTCCCGACGCACACCATCAGCCTTGTTCTCATCTTAAAGAAGAAGCCAGACAGTTGAGTCAAGGGGGGCTTGGTGGACGGTGTACAGTAGACTACACTCTCAACGCACTGCAGCATAAACAGCTACTTTGGTTGGATTCAAAATGTGTTAGTCACTGATATAGGGCCAAATGAGAGGTGCACAACTGCCCCCACTACAAGAACGGGCCTCTGAGAAATCTGATGCCGGCTTGCAAAATGTGCCAAAAGGTTCCAAAACTGTAGAAAATAGAGAGAGCCACCTTGTGGCACCACAGCCATGAAGATATTATTGTTCTTGTAGTGTTTCGGCATGCACGTTCTGAGCAGGACCCGCTCCTAGCAAGACTCTTTGACAAATGCGTTCAGCACAATTTCTAGTAAGTGTGGAAAGCACAGATAAAAGCTGCACACCACATATGGTAAGTGAGCAAGTGAATCGATGAAACACTTTCTAAGGAAATCTGCTAAATGCATGAACAAAGCATTTGCACGACAACAAATGAAGTCCTGAACTATTCCACTTCCTTTTTCTGAGAATCTTGTGCTTTTCACAGTCTACAGAAACAAACAAAACAAAAAGAAGTTCCCAGCTCTTTTTCCTGGACCACTCAAGGATTCGAAAAATCACTCTGTCATCACCTTTCAGGCGCCAATACTTACAAGATGTACTCTATAAGCACGTGCAAATGCTTCAGCTGTTTTTTTGTGCTTTTTTTGTTTCTCAGAGCACAGATGGGCAAATACAGCTGAAGCTGATTAAGTGCACCATACACTGATGATGTCGAGAAGAGCCAGACAAGTCAAAGGGGGCAGGAAACTCAAAACACAACTCCTAATATCACCTCGTTGACTGGAAGACCTAACCAAACGCAAGTGTGTGACAAAGTTTACTTTTCCAGCATGGAATGAGATGGATTACTCACTGTATTCAATTAAGACATGCAATATACTGTTTCTGCTTCACTTCTTCAGTCAGATTGTGCTTTTCTAAGATTTCTTCATTAGGTAATCGATGGAGACACCCTGGTAACTTGTTTTCGGAGTGGGGGAAATCCCACTGTGTTTAGCACTTACCCTTTCCAGATCCTCTTTCATCTGCAGAACTTGAAGAGCTAAAAGGAAAGGAGGAACAGTCAAGGCAAAGTATATTAAGGCTGTAGGGAATTCAGAGCATCAATTACTCAATCTACTACAATCTACTCATTCATTCATTCAAGAGCAGAATTTAAACATTGCAGGCTTCATTCAGTGAGTGCTCACCTGAACTTGGGAGGAGCTGAACCGCCTGGGGAGACCGGGGAGATCGGAGCTCGACCATCGCCCTCATTAGAGCCTGTGCTGGCTGCACTTCTCTTGGCCCATGCATTCTCCTTGGGAGGAGGTGCAGGCATCACCTTCAATGGCTCTTTAGAAGAGCTGGTGGAGGGGGGCCGGGATGAGGACCCAGGGGAAGTGGAGCCACCTTCTACCCCGCTGAATACCTCATTCTCACCGGAGCGCTCGCTATCTCGACACCGTGACCCTAGTGGGAGAAGGCAGTGTTTCAGTCCCAAGTAGGACAAAGACGAAGGAGAGATCGAGAAGAAGAAAGGAAGCGAGTGAAGAAACATCCCACCTCTTCCAGAAGTGCTTCCTTGCTGTGAAGACTCACTTCCTGTGCGGGATCGCTCAGTATGAGATTCCTCGTTGCGCCAGCTCGGGTCCCTAAAAGCAAAAAGAAAATCTTTATTTTCTTTCCTTTAGACCTTTGGGTACATTATGCAAATCAAACCACTGATGTCTGAAACCCAAACCACTATTTTAAGCACTTTGTTTCAGTGTAGCTACTCAAACAAAGTGCTCACACCACATGAGGGGAAGGACAGTTGAAACACTGCAACACTAAAACTAAACAAAATTTAAGACATGTTTTAGCTGATTGTAAACTGCAAATGGGGTAACAGGGTTTAAGCAAAGCAGGGTAAAACACGGAAAAGGCCAAGCAAACAAGTTTCTGAGTTTTTGCAGAGACTGTGGGGCATCTGAGACGGACTGTTTCGAGTGCAATGTGACGACCCGACCAATCGTAAAGCAAGAGCAAGAGTTCAGCCCTCACAGTTCTGCTCTATGCAAATGACATGATTAGCAGATTTTTGCAGTGGACAATCGTGAACACAAACCCTGCTGCAAACAGATATTAAAAATATCAGTTGCTGTTTTTACCTTCGAGGAGATTTTAAAAAGTGTAACATGCAAATATTTGGAACTGCTATTATATGTAAAAACTTGAGCAACTTGTTAGGCCTTAACTTACTGATTACACAGACAAACATCTGAAAATTCTGGATGTAAATGTCAAGACCAACGTGAAAGGCGAGTTGCAGCTATAACAGAACAGTGAACCAAAGAACATCTCAGAAATCTACCATGAACTCTTCAAGAATCACAAGATGAGGCTTTGAGTGTCCGTCAAGTTGTAGGCAGATCTTATAAACATGCCATAAACATCTCAGAAATTAAACTGAGCTGCAAGAACTTATTCACGAGTGACGGAGAAGGGGGCGGGAGATCAACAGACGGATTGGTGCTGCGGCTGCAGTGATGCGGACGCTGTACCGGTCTGTTGTGGTGAAGAGAGAGCTGAGTGTAAAAGCGAAGCTCTCAATTTACCGGTCGATTTACGTCCCTACCCTCACCGATGGTCACGAACTGTGGGTAGTGACCGAAAGAACAAGATCGCAGACACAAGCGGAAGAAACGCGCTTCCTCTGAAGGGTGGCTGGCCTCTCCCTTAGAGATAGGGTAGAGCTGCTGCTCCTCCACATCAAAACGAGCCAGTTGAGGCGGTTCAGGCATCCGACAAAGATGCCTCCTGGGCGAGGTGTTCTGGGCATGTCACACCGGGAGGGGGCCCCGGGGCAGACCCAGGACACGCTGGAGAGACTATATCTCTCAGCTGGCCTGGGAACGCTTGGGTGTTCCCCCAGACAAGCTGTAGGAGGTTGCTGGGGAAAGGGAGGTCTGGGCTTCTCGATCCGGCCCCGGATTAGCGGAAGAAAATGGATGGATGGCTGCAAGAACAGAAGTGAAGGATTCTAATGCAACAGCGACAACGGCTGTGGCTCTACTAATTGCAAGGATCGATGGTCTATGCCTGGCTCCTCCAAGGTACTGTACCCCAAAGTGCTCCCGGTGCATCTGTATGAATGTTAAGTTAAAGAAAGTACTTGTATGAATGTGTGTGAATGAGGCTTGGGGTAAAGCAGCAGAAAAGCACTTTGAGCATCAGTCCATTTAACAGAGACTCTGGCTGCAAAGGGCTTGTACAAGCTGTACAAGTCTCCACAGGATGCGTCAGCATTAAACACTTAATCATTAACATTTGAAAATAAAAAAGGCGCTCTCCCATTTCTGCATTAGGTCTAATTTACTTGTGCTTGAGAAAAAAAAAAAGGCAGAAAATTTAATGGTGTAATAAATGTACAATACTACTACATTCAAACATTACTCATCAGCCTCCCCGCTCACCTGTCCCTCATCTTTCTGTCCGGTCCCCTGCCTTTGTCCTCCTCCAGCTGCCTCTGCAGTCTCTCCTCCTCCTTCTTCAGCCTCTCCTCCACCTCCCTCTCCTTTGCTGCTGTGTCAACGGGTTTTGCTCCGCCAAAGATGGACGAGGCCCTGCTGCTTGAGCTTGAAGTGGCAGCAGGTGAAGTGCCACCACTGCCGGCGCTTTCCTCCTCTTTAGGTACACTACGAGGCTTCAGGTTCAACTTGGGTCTTTGCTGAGGAGCTAGGGTTGGAAAAGATGAAAGTACATACGTCACAAATGCACAACTTAACAAGATTTTTCTTGAAAATTAAGAATATTGACAAAGGATAGGATTTATACAATGAAATCTCACCCCTCTCTTCACGCCTGTCGTGCCGGTCTTCACGGTCCCCGTAACGATCCCGTTCTCCGTAACGATCTCGATCTCCGAAACGATCCCGGTCTCCGAAACGATCCCTGTCCCCATAGCGATCCCGGTCCCCGTAACGATCTCGATCTCCGTAACGATCCCGGTCCCCGTAGCGATCATTGCTACCCTGACTGTCATCATAATCACGGCGGAAACCACTACCAAAGTTACGACGACCTCCTCCACCACTACGAGAGTCGAAACCTACACAGACAGCAGACCAAAAAAGAAACGTGAAAACAGAACGCTGTAAACACTAAATACAACCACAAAAAATAAAGATTTATTTGGGATCAGAATGTTAAAGTAATCTGGATCTTGTGCCTAAGAAGCAGTTTCCAGAACTTATACAAACAAACCTCCATCATTGTTTCTGCGGTCCCTGTTGTCATAGCGATCCCGGTAACGACCTCCTTCATTACGATCACTGTCCCACCGCTGGCCATCTCTGTGACGATCAGACTCGTAACGGTCACGTGATCCTGCATTAGGTCGAAAGTAATAAGACGTGACACACTGAACAGCTGATTGGATGGTGTTACCACACAGGTATTTTATATAAACAATTCAAAATTAAAGACAAAGAAATAATAATAAAAAAAACAAAACACCTGCTCCTCAGTTTGAAAGCTGAAAACCAGGGCTGTGACATAAAGCTAAGGCTAGGTTTCACAAAATTCTCCATAGTGCAAAAGAAGCCACTTAATGGACTTGCTGTAATTAATTAGTTCAGTCAATATACTCAGAAATTAAACTTTCATGCTTCAATTTGTGAAACTGAAATGGGAAAAAAATAGTCTCAAAGCATTCTGTTTTTCTGTTTGTTTATTTAGGTATATTTTTGTCTTTAGAGGGAATCTTATGCTATCGTGATAAAGCTCCAGCAGAAGCATATTAGACTCACTGTCTCCGAAGGCATCATCTCTCCTGGGAGGTCCATCATCAGCATCCGCACTTGGTCGAGCTCTCCAGTCACTGTCTGTCTTATCAGGACCCATGTCAGCCATTCGCCCACCTCGGTCTCGACCACCCATAGGTCCGCTGTCTCTTTCTGAGATGTGAAGAAGGAGAGGAGACGCTGTGTTAAATTATCGAACACTTCAACGAGGGCAATGGAGCGGCGCGTGACTGCAGAGGCAGAGATGATCAAAATGTCCAGGAATAAAAGTGTACCTTTATCATTTGACTGGTCTGCAATATCCACACGAATCCGGCGGTTGCCCAGGTTCTGTTGGCATGAGCAAAGAAGTAGTTTGTTACAACTATTATTTACCGATCCTTCCTGCACTTTGGTGAAAGTCTCAGATTGTTTAATTGTGTCTTTTCCAACTTCAGGTTCTCTTACTTCCTCGCTGAGGCTGAGAGCCCTGAGGAGGGATTCTACGTCGTCAAATTCAGCATAACCAAAGCCTTTCAGCCTCTCTGGGTTACTGGGCTCTCGGGGCAGACGCACTGCACTGATCTGGACACAGAGACAGTTAAAGTGAAACACATTGATTAATAACATAACGCTCTAATTACACTCATGACAACAGAAACACACTACCCAAGTTTTCAAAATGCAAAATAACAACAGAAAACAACAACAACAACAAAAACTTTGTGTCGTTGATGTGACACGTTGAGGAACAAGTGTGAAAACAAACAGAAAAACAAAGTGGACCTCTGCATCCTGTTCTTTTTTAAAATGCAAATTCAATCTTGCTGTTGTGTGGACCGCCCCACGTAGATGTGGACTGAAACTTCAGAAATTAGCCACACGTGTAACTTCAAAGTGATGATCTGGGAACCTGAAATGTAACTGAAACTGCAAAACCAACACACACAGAACTGCTGGCATCCTAAATGTTATTTGCCTTGGCTGTTATATACAATTATGAGTGATGGCTGTGTGTATATCTTGCTAAACCTACTGCCAAGCCGCGGAAGAAGTCTTTGATTGAGTCCTCAGTGACATCATAGGGCAGGTTTCCCAGGAAGGCGGTGTATGGCGGGCTGCGGGGGAGTCTGGCCCGGTCAATATTGGGCTCGCGAGCTGAGCGAGGCGCTGTAGGCAGAATGGAGCGGTCGATGGGTGGTGCCCTGTACGTGTCCTCCTCCGTGTGCCAGGAAGTCGAGACTGCAGAGACATTGGAGGAATCTTCAAATAAAAGCTAATATTTGAGCTTCCTAAATTCATGAAATGCTTTCACTTAAATAAAAAAAAAAAAAAAAAAGAAGCTACCTATACTAGGGTTACCTGTGAGAAAACAAGAGAGCTCATTGCATAGAGATCACCGTTTTACATAATGCAAACACTTAAGAAAAAAACAAACATTAGGTGCCATTGCCTGCTACAGTGCTTGCGCAAACTGGCCTGCGTTCGCATTCCCCTTAATGATCCAGACTCGACTACGCATCAGTTTGTCTCATCATCTCAGCTCCTCTCTTTCTAAACAAACGCCCCTCATATGGCATGCAGCAATCACATTAGTCACACAAACTGGAGTTTAAGGGTCACACACACTCAGGTGTGGTGTAGATAGCCTAGTCTCAACATAGAAGCTGGAACAATTAACATACAAACAAACAGGGCATTGCCACTGACGCTGCATAAAAACCAAACTTTGACCTGGTAAATATGTTAATTAATACTTTCTTATAAATAAAATACATGCCTCATGTAACTACCCCCAGCTTGGATTAGTGTTATCACCCTCGCATTACAAGACATTTATATCTGCATATCATATCTATTCATATCTCACCCAGCTCATTTTCATTTAAACACTCTGCAGCACATTTCACATCCTGCCACATGTTCGACTACATGTGTTACTAGAATCGCCAGTTTGACCACATTCTTCAATTTCCCCAACGAATCTAAAAGATCTTCTGAACAAGAGAGAGCGAGCACACCGATTTTACTACAGTAATTGCTTTCAGGGCATTTCCACTGAGACTGGCTTGTCATACATAATATCTCCTTTAAAACATGTGACTGAATCAACAGCTATGCAATTAAAAGGATATCTCTGCCTACTGATTGCATAGCTAACCTGACTTACACTGACCATTTTGTTACCACAAATCACTCCGGCAGGTTGCTTCTTCAAATGCAAATAGCTCAGACAAACACTGCAGCCTTCAATTCAGAGGTTTTGAATTTGCAGTTAAGGGGAAAAGGTAGAGCTAAACAGTCGTTACCAAGAAACATAATGCAGACCGTTTTTTAGTTCACCTACTGTTGTGAAACGCTGCTAAGATATTCCGATCACTGTGTGCATTTCAGTGTGTGCTCACCATCTCCGTCCAGGTCATCAGTCTCATCCGCCCAGCTTGTGGACTTGGTCGGATAGCTGGGGGCGACGCTGCTGCCTCCACTGTCCTCCGCAAGAAAGTCAGTCAAAGTGAGGGTCTTCCCCTTCTTATTCTTCTTCTTAGCTGTAGGGAAGAACACATGAGTAAGTAATGGTTACCTTGCCCATTGTGGACATCTCTCTATGGAAGCCCCTTGCAAACAAAGTAACATATGGAATAGCTGCAGACTAAACTACCAGAAACTGCAGCATCTCAACAGTTAAAAAAAAACTACTAATGTTTTTGCCTTAAATGAGAGCTGCTGTTTAAATGGTGACGCTATTTTTAAGGTTTAGTAGTGAGATGATGTACAACCAAGCAAGATAAGAGTGGGCCCCAGTGTGCGTGTGATAACAAATACTTCTTTTGCTACAAAAAAACCAAAACTGCACACACACGAATGGGGAGTGGTCAGTCTGTCCAACCGTCACTGTGCAACAGACCAGAAAAGGCTCTTTAGCTCCAAGTCAGGTGAGAACCATAACGATTTCAAAACAACCTTACTGCAACACGTTTTTGAGGTTTGACTGACTGAATCATGCACAGACCACAGAATATTCTTGACAGTGTGTCCCAGTGCCAGCAGTTACCAGCCCCCAAGGGAGATGGGGAGGGGGGCTCGCACACAGTTCATGATGCAGGTTTTGACTTGGAAAAACAAAAACAAAAAATAGGGGGTGAGAAAGCTGGCTGGGAGCTTTATTGTGAAAATCCCAGCTGTCAGGACATTCTTTTGCACACATTATTTCAAAACCCACACAAACGCAGAGACCAACAAAGACTGTTTACAGCTCTGGTCCAGAATATTACACTAAGTTGTTGTTTACGGCCGTCAGGTTTGATCGAAATGGCTATAACCGCTTGTACTTTGCAAAACCAGCAAGCAAAAATATTGGCTGTGGTAGCCTGCTCAGCGATCCTCACTTATGTGACATTGGTGAGCTAAGAGCTGCGTAACATTAAGTTTCAGCGGAGCCGTCTTCTTCTAAAACTACAACCCCGCGGTCAAACTGTTAGGGTAACTATACTGGTCTTTAGCTTGCCGTATACACTGATCGCTTTTGTCTTGGCGGCTATGCGGGCTTAGTCAGCAAAGGACTGCTGACGGGGGAAGTATCCCTGCTTAGCTGGCTAGGTTTTACGGCCTAGCTCGCGTCGCAGCGCCACGATCCAAGTGCGCCATCAATCGCGCAGGACTTGGCCGGCTGGGGAAAAAAAGATAGCTTAAAGTTGAGAAGGAGCTAGGGAAGTGTTTAGAATGCGGCCAAAACAGGCTCAGCCGCCCCATTTCATCAAACACCGACACCAGGCAGCCACGCTTGCACACGTGGGGAGACTCCTCGGGCAGCCCGGACTCCTCGGCCCGACCCCTCCTCCACACATCGCGCTTGCGCCCGGCGCTTATCTTGCTCTGAGCGCCACGGCGAAACCCGCTACGGTCATACAATGTGCCAGCTCTGCACGCAGTTCCGAACATTTCACAGCCTGTCAACCACGTCCACTGCGCACAACAACGCTTAAAGTCAAAAGCGGACTTCAGCAGCCGCAGTAACCGTGCCCAGAGGTAAATGCTACAAGTTCTCGGGAGGTTACAACGTTCACATTTATGCTAGTCGTTGCTCCGTTCATTCGCCTATGTCTGGCAGTATCGTCTTTACCGAGCCCAAAACAACCGGGAACCCCTTTTATACACACGAGACAACGACGCGGAGCGATAAAGCGAAGAAAAAACAACCATCAAACTTCACGTGTTAAGTTGAATTGAAGTAAAATCCTCTTAAATTCTCCCCCGAACCAACCCGGATCGCTCACCCACATAAACCTCACCTGACGCCGCCATGTTGGAGAGCGAGTTCGTAGTAGTTCCCGGATGAAGGCGTCAGAGGTTTATTATCGGGAGCGCGCATCGTCGTCCACGAGAGCCTTGCCTCCTCCCTTGTTTACTTGCTGACCCACATCTGCTGCACCGCTGCTCCGTGCTCTGCTCAATATTTGTCGTATTTGTCACCGAACTGGCTGCAGCTTTCCCAGCTGTGTATTTATTTTAATCTTATAGCAATTTCAATCCACCTTTTCTGATTTTTTTTGCTTAAAATTCTAATGAATTAGTGGTAATAAGCCATTAAGTACTGACCCGTGTCCCAGAGATTATAGAACTTTGCTGAGTTTTCGTTTTTTACCGTAAAACATAATAATAAAAACCGTCCAAGTAGCATTTTTTTGGTTAAAGTGGTTAACTTTATATCAGCTCTTCATGATGGCTTGCATCTTATGTACAGGTTTGAATAACTGCCAGCTATCAGTTATATTATGCTGGTTTTATGATTATATCATCCAAGGTTATAGCCAGTCCTTGGTAGGGATGGGTATCGTTTAGATTTTATTCGATACCAGTACCAAACCGGTACTTTTGAAATGGTGCTGATGCTTAAACGGTGCTCAAACCTGTCCTTAAAGAATGGAGAACACAAAATTGGTCCAAAAACCTCTCATGTTCAGCTGTTTTTTTTTTTTTGTAAAAAGATAACAATGTTAGCCTTTTCTGCAGCTATAGGGCATACATGGTATCACTCTTGGCTGGAAGCAGTGCTTAAACAATGGAAAAAACACAAATTTTGTCCAAAAACCTCTCATGTTTAGCTGTTTCCCACTTTTTCTTTGGTCATTTTAGCCTTTTTGGCCAGGGTGAAGGGAGTACCTGCCATCAAACAAGAAGACAGCCGCATGTAGCTATAACGGTGTTTGCTAGTTCACCTTACATGCATTAATGCAGACCTTCCCAAAGTGTGGGGCCCGGGGGCGCAGAGCCATTGCAGGGGGGACGCGGCATGAAAAGGGAAAGAAAAAACCAAAACAATGCTTGGACACTGCTAGCACGGGGCGCCCACGCAAATGCAAAGCAGGAGATGAAGCATCGTTGAATATGTTTCCAAACCAACTTCATTCTAAGCCAAAGACTAGAAAATATGGTGAAGCATATCTTCCCTTTGGATTCACCTGCACAAGTGCCGAGGTAGGTCTCCCCTGCAGAATTGGTCATTCCTATGTCGGGAGCAGCGCTGGGCTGTTCAAATCACCGACAAACAGGATCCCACATTCTTGATTTTTAGTTCACAAACACTTGTAATAAATAACTACTCCTGACATTTTGGAGATGTTAGCTCTTTACACAGTAAAGTTACAGTGGGATACAAATAATATCAGGCTGATCCTGCCACGATTTGTTCCCCCTGTCTAAATCACGGACAAACAGTATCCCACTGTTGTTTATGTTTTTAAACCCATTTTGCACAGAGAGGTATTTTTTTGAAAAATTTATTGATAGCAATGTTGAATATTATTACACAGGAAAAAAACAACTACATGTAAAAGAAGTAAACCGTGGTGCCTCTGCCTTTCTAAATAGAGGGACAGTAACTGCGTGTTTATATGTAAGAGTGTAACCTGAAGATAGAGACAAAATACTGTTTATCTGCCATTCTGCAATTCCTCTCATGTAAACAATAACGTGGCGCACAGCTGACGTGAAAAAAGGCACCTTTGACGTTGTGTGACGAAAACTGTATTCCTGTCCACACATAAAAGCAAAACAGGAGTTTTGAAAAATCTCAGTTTTCGGTGATTCGAAGTGCCGAAGTGCCTATGTGTGGATGACACAGCTGCGTTTTTAAAAATATCCGTGTAGGTGCGGACGTAGCGCAAAAAGAGTTAGTAGTTTATTTTCTTACCTGCAGATTACTTGTATTTGCTTAATTGTTTATGTTTGAGGTGTGAAATAAACCGCAATTGAGCAAAATATGCATGTGTGTAGTTGGAGGATGTGTTAGTACGTGTGCGCGTGCGGGGGGCACGAACATTTTTCTGGGGCAGCGAAAAAAGTTTGGGAACCACTGCATTAATGTAATAACGTGGTTAGCCTACTCAACGTACATTACACACGAACAACATTAAGCTACTCACACCGAGAAGAACGGCTGCTGCCGTCATCATTTCTGCTACACTGGCAGGGCTAGGGGCCAGGACTCTCCTCTTCGGGTTTTTGGGAGATGTTGCTAAGCACCACACCCGCAGTAGATGTGCACGGTGTGAGGTCTTGCAGCAAGCTATCAAATATGGTGCATTTCTCGGCACTATGCGTCGCCAGGTGTTTCATCGGATTTGAGGTGTTACCTCCTTTGACAGTATCACAGTATCAGCTTAAAGCACTTGTTGCAGGCTGCTGAGTTTGCAACTTTTGCTGTGAAGTACAGCCAGACTTTGACTGCCTGGCCTTGGGCACTTTGAATCTGTAGCTCTGCTCTAAAAGCATGTACGTACCTGGACCCGCCTACTATCCTCGGAAATGATTGGCTAGAAGTGTATCACAGCTCAGGGAAAAAAAGCACCGAAATAAAGCACCGAAATGTGCGCTGCTTTTCGGTCTGGTTACTGCCGTTTATGTCAGAACCGGTGCCATCCTGGCACCGGATACCGGTACCCATCCCTACTCCTTGGTGCATATAAGTAGTAAGGCAAATTCTTATGCAGCCACCTAGGTGGCTCATTTAGGACTACTTCTTCCCCCTAGTGGCCACTTATCATGTTGCATTTGTAAGATTCACGTTACAAATTATGGCCTTTTCTCTGAATGGGATAAGCAGAAAAGAATGGATGGATCGTGGCTCATATGGATGGATCATGGCTTTTATTTCATCATAATATTTTGAGATGCAGCAAATGATAACACAGATAACAATTTCCCTGAATAAGATAGCAATATAGTCAAGCAAATTTGTGGATATTTTCTTTTTATAAATTGTTGGTTTCACCAACAGTAATGATCAGTTATTTTATTATTATTATTATTATTATTATTATTATTATTATTATTATTATTATTATTATAATTTTTCTTTATTTTTTTTAAAGTTGTTTTTTATTTTTATTTATTTATTTATTTATTTATTTATTTATTTATTTATTTATTTATTTATTTATTTTTAATTTAGTAAATGCCTTTACCTACCAAACATGAACTGAACTGAAGTGAGAACCAGACAAAAACTGTGAATTCAGGTTTAAGAAGTGGTTTTATTTGGTTTTATTTTGCGGTCAGATCAGGCAGTGATCCATGTTTCGCTGTGGTGGAATAATGCCTTTATTAAAAACTGCTTAAATCAGGGTTCACTTGACATGTGGTTATAGTGCAAAAAATGTCAAAACTCCTCCACCCACCCCACTCATAATTAATGGGTGTGGGCAGATTGCTTCCATTGTTGCGATGACTCCCAATCCTTTGTTCCAAATTAGTCGGAGGCCTCCAGCTCGTCCAGTGCATCCTGGAGCCTGTGCAAAACACAAATGAAACATTTTGACTTCCAGAATATTCACATTAAACTGGCCTTGAGACCATAACCAGCTGAGATTTCTGACTTGCATAATGTCTTGATGCATGCATCAATCATCCAGGTAAGGAAATCCCAGAAAGTTGATTCTGTTTATCTAGATGTAGTGTTTTGATTCTGCTCATCTAGATGTTGCGTTTTCAGAAAACACTACATCTAGATAAACAGAATCAACTTTCTGGGATTACCTTGCATAATGGTGTAGTTATTTTTGGCCATGCAACTCATGCTATCAATTGATTTTCATATTCACCTCCACCATCACCATCATCTTGCCATGACCTGCATTTTTTTTTCTTCCACCACATCTTTATAGCTCTTACTTGAAGTCTCCACCATCCAGCAGAGTCTTGTAAGTGCTGATCTCGCCCTCAAGTTTCATCTTCATGTTGAGCAGCGCCTCGTACTCTTGGGTCTGCTGCTGTATGTTCGCGCGTAAGCTAGCCAGCTCCTCCTCCAGCCGAATAATGAGGGTGTTATACTTCTCCATTTCCATGTTGTTACGTAGCTCTGTGTTGCGCAGGGTGTCTTCTAAAGAGGCTTTCTAATAAAAGGAGAAATAAAAGCTGTAAGTATAAGAAAAGATGAGGAAATATATGCTTTGCTAACTAAGAGTGGGCGCAGTGGTCATGGTATTCAACTGTGCCAATTTTGTAGTAAAAAGATATAGAGAATGCATTATGGAACAGGGTCATAAACTTAGAAAGGATTTGATAATTTCATGTTTATAAATAAAATCAGTGAAAATGCTTACTAAGCTCTGTTGAGATGCAAGTTCAATTTCCAGAGTCTGTATCTGTCGTGATAAGTCGCTCTTCTCCATTTGGGCCCCCTGGAGAGCTTCTGTGTTCTGTGATACCTGCACCTGCACATCTGCAATCTGCCAGGGACACGAAAGGAAGATGGTCAGAAACACAGTGGCTCAGCGTGTCTTTTGAATCAAACTTCTTAATGTCCACCGCACCTGATTTTCATGCCACCGTTTGAGATCTTCTGCGTTTTTCAATGCAATCTTCTCGTAGTTGGCTCTCATGTCCTCCATGATCTGGGACAGGTCCTGACCTTTGGGAGCGTCTACATCCACCTGCACACCTGACTGTGAGATCTGACTCCTCAGCTCCATCACTTCCTGTTGGATCAGCAGAATGAGAAAAGAAATGAAGAAGACAACAAAACGTGTGACTCTATATGTTATTATCAATCTGATGAACCGCAAGCTCACGTTCTCATGGTTCCTCTTTAGGAATAGAAGCTCCTCCTTCACGGCTTCAATCTCGTTCTCGATGTTGAGCCTGCTCATGTTCGTTTCGTCGAGGACTTTCTTCAGCCCGCCAATGTCGGCCTCCACGGACAGGCGGATCGCCATCTCATTCTCAGATCTGTGGGAATGAGCAGACACAGTGTATGAGAGACACAATCGCAGAGTGTAAGAATGACTACACATGCAAAGACGAGACGATCACATACTTGACTTTGAAGTCGTCGGCAGCGAGGCGGGCGTTGTCAATCTGAAGCACTAAACGGGC